GGCTGGAGCCTCAGGCCACCCGCCTGCGTTCCCGTCGGCAAGTCCGGCTGAGTCTGGGCGACCGCCACGTTGGGGCCGCTGGTCGCTGTGCAGCCTGGAAGTGGGTAAGGGCGAGGGTGGGGATGGCGCAAGGCTGCACACCAGCTTCTCGCCGTGGCCGCCACGGTTCCTCACTCGCACCTTAAGCAAATGCCCCTCCTCCGGTCCTCAGTTTCCTCATCTGTGAAGTGGGGATGATGGGCGGCGAGGCCTGCGCCGACGTGGTGCTGGCGAGGCCGGGGCTCGTGCGGTGGAAGCGCTCGTGCGCGCACAGCTGGGGGAGCTCCTGCAAACGCGGCTCCTCCCGCGGCCTCAGTTTGCTCGGCCGGAAATGGGAATCGTGGGACTCCCGCTCTGTTTCCACAACTGTGAGGACTCAGAGCCACCGAGGGCACCAGAGCTGGGAGAACAGAGCCCAAGGTCGGGGGACTCTGCTCCCCTCTGAGCTCACCCTGGCCTGTGGCAGAGGAAGGGCGCCCCAGGCAGCACTGGGGACAAAAGGGTCTTGGCTGGACAGGCAGAGCGATTGCTTCGGGCTGGGACGGTCTGCCAGGACACTCCCGGTTTTTCAGCTGAAGAAACGAGACTCAAGAGAGGCGGCACCCCCGCGTCCTGCTCCCTCCTCCGCAGCTGGAGGGCGGGCAGGTGAGACATCCCAGCAGGAAGTCCTAGTGATACAACGCACCAAAAGGCTCCCCACTGGGACCCCAACACCTCGGACACCTCGCTTCTGTTGGACCTGCCACCTTTGTCCTTCAAACCAAGACCGGCAGACCTGCGGAGACCCTCCTCTCACTGGCAGAATGAGGAGCCTAATCAGCAGCGGACCTGCTGTGCAGGCCCTGGTAAGTCACTTCGCTTCTCTGAGTCTCCATTTTTCTCCAAAGGTCCAAAGATGGGTCCTACTGATGGGGTTCTGCAAAATCCCTGAGGTCCCACAGACTAATCTTGGTGAGGAGGAGACAAAGGCAGAGAGAAGGGAAGAGACAGAGTTGGTCGCAGCCTCCCACCCAGGGCCCCTGAGAAACAACAGATAAGATCTGTAGCCACTGGAGGTGGGGGACTACCCCTGCCCCTAACAGCTCCCATCACAGGGAAGCTCCTGGAAAGTGGGAAGTAAGAGCAGGGAAGTGGAGGGGAGGCCGGACTAGGGGGCTCCAGTTGGCCTCACTATGGTGGAGCCCACAGGGTCCCTGGACACAGTGGCAGGAGACCCAAGTGGTGTCAGCACAGGTCTGGGCTGGGGCCAGGAGGTGGAGGACTGGGCCCTGAGCCAGGGCTCCCTTCTCTCTCCTTCTCAACCCCTCTCCCGAAGGTTCTACTGCCCCAGGTTGGGGCCGTGTTCCATCGGACCAGCCCCCAGCCCGGCGTCCCAGCTGCAGTCACAGCCCCTCACGTACCTAGTACCCACGCAGGGAGGCAGACCTACCAGTGGTCTTCAGAATGTTTATGGAAAATGCAAGTTACAAGAAGTAGTCATGGGTTTCAATTTTTCTGCACCCAAATAAGCTCATATTTTAATTCTATTTTTCCATGAACTTCTTAAAGTCCCCTCACGGACCTGGCCCAGACATAGAACGCTGACTGACAGATGGGCAGGGAGACAGACAGACACACACAGAGACTCAAGAGACATCCACAGAGACAACACAGCACACAGACCCAGAGACACAAGCACAGGCCTAGAGACCCACAGACACTCCCACAGACTGCGGGGCTCGAACCAAGCACTCCAGGGCCAGCCGGCCACCCATATACAGCCGGCCACCCGCACACCCCCAGAGGGCCTGTCCCGGTGTAGGCCTAGCTCCTCCCATCAGCCACCCAGCGGAGAAGAGGGCACAGCATGGTGGGAGAGTGGGTCTAGGGAGGCCCCTGGCCCCTTGGCTGCCCAGAGCAGCTGGCACCAGCCACCCGGCAGTGGGCAGTGGCCGGCCCAGGCCGCAGGCAGGCTCTGAGGAGGGAGGCTGGCCAGGAGAGGCCTGGGCCCGGGCCCTCACTTACGTGTGGCGGAAGGAGAGCTCTGGGCCGGATGAGGGTGCGCGGTGGGCACCGGCGGGGGATGCCCCGGCACCCAGGTGGGGCAGTGGCCGGCGGGCACGCAGGGACGCGGCTCACCACGGCAGGCGGCGGCGGACAGCGGGCTGGCCCTGTCCGGCCGTCCTCCTCCTCCTCCCCGCCCTGGGGGGGGGCACGGAGGCCCAATTGGTCTCTGCCCCCACGTGACTCCACGGGCCTCTCTCTTTGTTGGTGTTTCTCTTCATTTAGGTCTATTTTTTTTCTTCTCCTAAAAGAAAAAAAAATAATACCCCTATCTATCTGGGGGCCGCGGGTGGGGGCGGAGGCCAAGGCACTCCGGAGGCCTTGGCCAGCCGGCTGCTCCAGGCCGCGAGAGCCCAGAGGCAGGGACCCCAGGAGGCGGGTAGGAAGCCCCGCTTGTTAGTGACCGGTGGGAGTGGGACCTGATTTATGGGCTGCTCCCCCACCCGGCCGGCAGCCTGGCCTCTCCCCCCTGGAAGGGCTACCTCCCTGGGGCCTGGCCTGGAGTGGCTGGGCCTGGCCCAGACATGGGAGAGGAGTCGGGATGGGCTGGCGCAGAGGCAGGGCCGGGGCGGCGTGGCCAGGTGGCGGGCTGCGTTGGCCTGGTCATTTTACTTGGCCATCAGGTGACGAAAGGAAGAGGGGCCGGAAGGCCAGCAGGTGAGCCGCTGAAGGCCCCGCATGCACTCGGGTCGCCCTCTCTGAACGTCACCTCTGTCGTGGGCCGCTGCTGTCCCCAGAGGCAGCTGGGAAAGCTAAGGCCGGGGAGACTGCCTCTGGGGCCAAGTGGTTGGCTACAGTGGCCCCTGGCTGAGCCAAGCGGGCAGCTAGACCAGGAAGGCAGGGTAGAGGGGAGGGAGCTTATCTGAAAGGCCAGGCCTCACCTTGCAGCCTGGAATGTCCCTGTGCAGTCTCGGGCCCAGGCAGGTCTGGAGCTCTGCTCATTCTGTAGGGTGCCGTGCCCTGCACCCCTCCCAGGTGTCACGTGCTCTTTCCTGCACCCCTTTGTCCATCTCACCTTTCCTGAGTGCACTCCAGAGGCCAGGCACTGTTCCAGGCACTGGAGATTCCACAGCAAAGAAAAGAGAAGTCTCCGTCCTCAGAGGATTTACCTCCCAGTCATTCGTGCTTGGTTGGGGGTGGGACGGGCCTCGAGGGACCCTGGGACATTGCTGTTGAGAACCACCCCACGTACCTCTTCATTTGAAGAAATGGGCAAATTGCATAAAACACCTCACTTTTCTGGCCTGGATGACAGGGGCCTTTCTGGATAACGGAAGGCAACTCTATTTAAAACTTAAGTCTTTTTCTCATTGTGCCACTTGGAACTTTTTTCATGAACACCCAACAATAATTTTCCTGACAGTCATAACCAACTGATTGTACTGATCAATAGTATTCTTATGGGACCGGCAGGTGGTGTGGCGTTTAAGGGTGCTGGACTCCTACATGGCGGACCGTGGTTTGAGTCCTGGACTTGGCAGCTTGCTTTCACACTTTCCTTCTCTTTCTCTCACTCTGTCCCTCTCTGGTCAAATTAAAATAAGTAAATAAATAAATGAGTAAGTAAAGTTAAAAATAAAAATAATTCTTAAAATATATATATATTCTTGGGGCCAGCAGTTGGTAATAATGGCTATGTCGCTAGACTCCCATGTAGTCAACCGCAGTTTGAGTCCCGGACCTGGCAGCTTAAACTCATGCTATGTGTGTGTGCATGTGTGTGTGTGTGCGTGCGTGCCCAAGATCCCAAGAGGAGAATGGAGGAGAAGGAATTGTGGCATGGCCATCCCCCCTGGGAGGTGATACCTTGCTTTCTGTCTCTGTCTCGGGACTGACAGGTGGTGTGGTGGTTAAGGGCGTTGGATTCCCACATGGCTGACCTTGGTTCAAATCCTGGACCTGGTGGCTTGCTTTCTCACTTTCCCTCTCTCTCTCACTCACTCACTCTCACTCTGTCTCTCTCTGGTCAAATTAAAATAAATAAACAAACAAAATTAAAATAATTCTTAAAAAAGTATATATATATATTTTAAATTTTGCTATAGGGTGCCTGTGCTTGCTGGAGAGAGAGAATGTGAGGGTATACACCGCAATCTCTTCTCCCCCATTCTCTTCTCAGGGTTTTGGGCACTCATGTACATGTGACCACGTGTACAAGTCCCAGACCGTGTAGTTGCCATGTGAAATCTAGCCATCTTAGCCACCATGCCACCAGCAGGCCCTGATCAAACATATTCTTTTTAAACATTTTATTTTATATTCAATTACCGAGTGTATTTACAGCATAGAAAATGAATTTTGCCAGCATGAATAAACTGTATGTTAGTTCAGTCAAAGGTATCACCGTACACATTGTCCACAGGTAATTTTCCGTTTTCGTATCTGTTGAATGTTTTGCTTTTCCCCCCTTGATTCCTTTCCTCCCACCTGCCATCAAATATATATATATATATTTATATTTTAAAGTTGACCAGAGAGAGAGGGAAAGTGAGAAAGCAAGCTGCCAGGTCCAGTACTTGAACTGTAGTCAGCCACGTGGGAGTTCAGCTGCCTTAACCACCACACCACCTGACTGCCCCTCAAATATATATTTTTAAAATAATTATTTTATTTTATTTTATTTATTATTATTAATTTTTAATTCGATGAGAGGGAGAAAGAGAGAGAGAGAGAGAGAGAGAGAGAAACAAGCTGCCAGGTCCAGGGGCTGAACTGCAGTCGGTCATCGGTCATGTGGGAGTCCAGTGGCCTAACCACCACACCACCTGCTGCCCCTCCATCAAGTATATTCTAATTCTACGTAGAGAGGACATATAACCTGCTCCTCGGTGCACACGGCTGCGTGGCTGCCTTTCCACTACAGACGCCCTTACAGCGCTTCTCCTGCATACGGCTGAGCCTAACCAGCCACCAGTTTACTTTATGCTCTTTTTTCAGTCCCCCGCTTTTTTTTTTTTTAAAGAATTGTTTTATTTAACTTTATTAATTTACTTATTTATTTTTAATTTGTCCGGAGAGGGACAGACTGAAAGAGAGGGAAAATGAGAAAGCAAGTCACCAGATCTGGGACTCAGACCACTGTCATCCATGCGGGAGTCCAGCGCCCTTAACCACCATGCCAACTGCTGCCCCCCCCCCCGTTTTGATAGAGAGCACGTGCACACATGTGAGACAGAGACAGAGAGGCATCCTTGATGGGGCCATGTCATACTGTGACCCCTCGTCCCAGCCCTCCAGCCCACACGCACAAGCCTACTGTGTTTCCAGGCTGCCCAGGAATCTGAACCCGCAGTTGGCCATGTAGCTTCCAGTACTGTAGTCCAGTACGAGGTAAACTGTGCCACCTGAGCTGGCTACCCTTTATGTACTGATTTATTTTTTGAAATCTTTTTTTATTTTTTTGAGAGATTTTTGTTATAGGGTGTGTGTGCTTGGCAGAGAGACAGAGAGAGACAGAAAGTGAGAAATTATCCCCCAGGGAGGATGGCCACGCCACAATCCCTTCTCCTCTATTCTCTTCTCAGGACTTTGGGCACACACACGTATGCGCCCGGCATAAGTTTTAAGCTGCTGGGTCTGGGACTCGAACTGTGGTCGACTACATGGGAGTCCAGTGACACAGCCATTATGCCATCTGCTTCCCCCCCAGGCATCTTATTTGTCATAATCTTCACATGTTGGCCTTCCGAGTGGGAGATTGCAGGCCTGTACCACTGAGGAGAGGCCTCGTCCCCCTGGTCTAATGTTTCTGGATTTATACCATTTATGCTCTGAACTCAAGAACTGTCCCAGCATGTACCCTAAACCACCAACAGGTTGCATATGCACAACAACAACACCACCACCACGACGCTTTGCCCCTTCAGATGTGAGAGCGTGGAATAGGGCCTGTGCCCGCCTCCTGAGGAGAGGCTCCGGCCAAGACTCTGGAGTAAATCCTGGTTCTGTCTCTTCTAAGCTGCGTGACCTGGGGTCAAGTCACTTCCCCTCTCGGGGCCTTAAGTCTTCTCTGTAAAATGGGGACAGAATGTGACAATCCATGTAACATAGTCAGTAGCTGCTTGGTATGTCATTTGTGCTCAATATAAGTTAGCAAAACATGAGGATGGCAGGTGGTATGGTGGTTAGGGATGCTAGACTCCTACATGGCCAGCTGCAGTTTGAGTCCCGGACCTGGTGGCTTGCTTTCTCATTTTCTCTCTCTCCCTCTCTCTGTCCCTCTCTGATCAAATAAATAAATAAATAAATGGATAAATAAAGTTAAATAAAGTAATTTTTTTGAGAGTTTTTTCCTGCTATAGGGCATGTGTGCTCACCAGACAGACAGAGAAAGACAGAGACAGAAAGCGAGAAATCACCTCCCAGGGGGGATGGCCACGCCGCAATCCCTTCTCCATTCTCCTCTCAGGATCTCGGGCATGCACGCCCACGCACCTGTCGTGAGTTTAAGCCACCAGGTCTGGGACTCGAACCGTGGTCAACCACATGGGAGTCCAGCAACATAGCCATTATACCAATTGCTGATCCCAAATAAAATAATTCTTAAAAAAAAAAAAAAAGAAAAAAAGTTAGCAAAACACAAAGGAGGACCGGCTGGTCGGTCCTTAGGGGCCCTTTCTGTGTGGAGTCTGAGGTTGCAACATCATCATGAAAACTGTTTGTCCTTCTGTGATACAGTGACTCACCCCAGCCTGGGAAAGCCCTGATTGACCTCTGGGTCTGCAGCGGCCAGCACGGGGCAACCATTGGTGAGTGTTTGTTGAATGACTGCTTGCTCCTACGCTGAAGGTCCTGTCAGGTTGTCCGGAAAAATCATGAAACGTTTTTCCATAGAAAAACGCGTCAGAACTTTCCAGACAGCCTAACACACGCTGCCTGTAGACACCGAGCTCTGCCACCCATTTCTCCTGCCCCTCTCCCTCCCTGCAGCATCCCGTCACTTGCCACCACTCAGGTTGGGTGCGCCTTGCCCCCTAATCAACCTGGAATATGCTAACCGACATCCCCGTGGATGGCGCAGTACCCCCCACTCCACCCTCGCCCATACTGCGCACTCCGTGGTGGGAGGGGATGCCAGGGTTGCCAGCCAGCGGGGAATGGGCAAGCCCTGACTCCAGAGCACCCTCTCTCATGTGCTGGACCCCCTCCTGGCCACTCCACACATGCACATGGTCGTCTCCCATCCTGGGGGGTGGATGGTGTTCTCCCCGCCCCCGCCACGAGCAGCATTTGAGAGATGAGCAAACTCAGGCTCCCAGAGACAGACGTCGTCCCTAAGCAGGAGTGCTCCTGGGGGAGCCAGCGCCTGTGCTGGCGGGCTCCGCTGCCCCTGGGTGGTCTGTCTGTCCTTTTCTTCAAGCTCCAGTCCAGGTGGTCCCAGGCCATGAGACCCACCCAGAGGGGAAGGAGAAGGGGTGTAGCCCTGACTCAGCACCCCCCCCCACCAGACAAACAAAGCCCAGGGTCTCGCTCCTAAGTAGGGGCTTTCCCGAAGTGCCAGGCCTATTTCCTGGAAGGGGATGAGGAGCAAACAAAACCAGAGACCCAGAAACCGGAGGGGGGGCACGGGATCATTGGGCTGCAGTCGGGGTGCAGAGCAGAAAAACAGCCAGGAGGAGAGAAACTACAGAGACCCTAAGGCAGAAGATGCGCAGAGAGAGAAAAGGGGACCCACTGACAACAGAACGAAGAGATGGTGGGAGGGAAATTTGGAGACAGGGAGAGGAAAGAAACGGGAGGGGGAAATGGTAGAAAAAATGAGCGAGAGAGAAGGGATGAGAGAAATTTCCAGAGAGAAGGAATGAGAAAGGATGAGAGAAAACTTCGGAGAGACTGAGGCAGAGAACGCGGAGAGAGAACAGGAGGACCCCTTGCAGGCCAGCGGCGGGGGGGGGCCGCCGGGCGGGGCCGGGGGGCGGCTGCCCC